GGTATGTTGCTAGTAATATCTTATTATGTAGCCTAGAATCTATGCAGTGTTCCACTCAATCTCACTCCACTAATGCCTAGGTATGTTGCTAGTAATATCTTATTATGTAGCGTAGAATCTATGCAGTGGTGTATTTAATCTCACTTCACTAATGCCTAGGTATGTTGCTAGTAATATCTTATTATGTAGCATAGAATCTATGCAGTGGTGTACTTAATCTCACTCCACTAATGCCTAGGTATGTTGCTAGTAATATCTTATTATGTAGCCTAGAATCTACGCTGTGTTCCACTTAATCTCACTCCACTAATGCCTAGGTATGTTGCTAGTAATATCTTATTATGTAGCCTAGAATCTATGCAGTGTTCCACTTAATCTCACTTCACTAATGCCTAGGTATGTTGCAAGTAATATCTTATTATGTAGCTTAGAATCTATGCAGTGTTCCACTTAATCTCACTCCACTAATGCCTAGGTATGTTGCTAGTAATATCTTATCATGTAGCGTAGAATCTATGCAGTGTTCCACTTAATCTCACTCCACTAATGCCTAGGTATGTTGCTAGTAATATCTTATTATGTAGCGTAGAATCTATGCAGTGTTCCACTTAATCTCACTCCATTAATACTATGTATGTTGCTAGTAATATCTTATTATGTAGCCTAGAATCTATGCAGTGTTCCACTTAATCTCACTCCACTAATGCCTAGGTATGTTGCTAGTAATATCTTATTATGTAGCGTAGAATCTATGCAGTGTTCCACTTAATCTCACTCCATTAATACTAGGTATGTTGCTAGTAATATCTTATTATGTAGCGTAGAATCTATGCAGTGTTACACTTAATCTCACTCCACTAATGCCTAGGTATGTTGCTAGTAATATCTTATTATGTAGCGTAGAATCTATGCAGTGTTCCACTTAATCTCACTCCACTAATGCCTAGGTATGTTGCTAGTAATATCTTATTATGTAGCGTAGAATCTATGCAGTGTTCCACTTAATCTCACTCCACTAATGTCTAGGTATGTTGCTAGTAATATCTTATTATGTAGCGTAGAATCTATGCAGTGTTCCACTTAATCTCACTCCACTAATGTCTAGGTATGTTACTAGTAATACCTTATTATGTAGCGTAGAATCTATGCAGTGTTCCACTTAATCTCACTTCACTAATGCCTAGGTATGTTGCTAGTAATATCTTATTATGTAGCGTAGAATCTATGCAGTGTTCCACTTAATCTCACTTCACTAATGCCTAGGTATGTTGCTAGTAATATCTTATTATGTAGCGTAGAATCTATGCAGTGTTCCACTCAATCTCACTTCACTAATGCCTAGGTATGTTGCTAGTAATATCTTATTATGTAGCCTAGAATCTATGCAGTGTTCCACTTAATCTCACTTCACTAATGCCTAGGTATGTTGCTAGTAATATCTTATTATGTAGCCTAGAATCTATGCAGTGTTCCACTCAAACTCACTCCACTAATGCCTAGGTATGTTGCTAGTAATATCTTATTATGTAGCCTAGAATCTATGCAGTGTTCCACTGAAACTCACTCCACTAATGCCTAGGTATGTTGCTAGTAATATCTTATTATGTAGCCTAGAATCTATGCAGTGTTCCACTCAATCTCACTCCACTAATGCCTAGGTATGTTGCTAGTAATATCTTATTATGTAGCCTAGAATCTATGCAGTGTTCCACTTAATCTCACTTCACTAATGCCTAGGTATGTTGCTAGTAATATCTTATTATGTAGCCTAGAATCTATGCAGTGTTCCACTTAATCTCACTCCACAAATGCCGAGGTATGTTGCTAGTAATATCTTATTATGCAGCCTAGAATCTATGCAGTGTTCCACTCAATCTCACTTCACTAATGCCTAGGTATGTTGCTAGTAATATCTTATTATGTAGCGTAGAATATATGCAGTGTTCCACTCAATCTCACTTCACTAATGCCTAAGTATGTTGCTAGTAATATCTTATTATGTAGCGTAGAATCTAAGCAGTGTTCCACTTAATCTCACTCCACTAATGCCTAGGTATGTTGCTAGTAATATCTTATTATGTAGCCTAGAATCTATGCAGTGTTCCACTTAATCTCACTTCACTAATGCCTAGGTATGTTGCTAGTAATATCTTATTATGTAGCGTAGAATCTATGCAGTGTTCCACTCAAACTCACTCCACTAATGCCTAGGTATGTTGCTAGTAATATCTTATTATGTAGCCTAGAATCTATGCAGTGTTCCACTCAATCTCACTCCACTAATGCCTAGGTATGTTGCTAGTAATATCTTATTATGTAGCGTAGAATCTATGCAGTGGTGTATTTAATCTCACTTCACTAATGCCTAGGTATGTTGCTAGTAATATCTTATTATGTAGCATAGAATCTATGCAGTGGTGTACTTAATCTCACTCCACTAATGCCTAGGTATGTTGCTAGTAATATCTTATTATGTAGCCTAGAATCTATGCTGTGTTCCACTTAATCTCACTCCACTAATGCCTAGGTATGTTGCTAGTAATATCTTATTATGTAGCCTAGAATCTATGCAGTGTTCCACTTAATCTCACTCCACTAATGCCTAGGTATGTTGCTAGTAATATCTTATTATGTAGCCTAGAATCTATGCAGTGTTCCACTTAATCTCACTTCACTAATGCCTAGGTATGTTGCTAGTAATATCTTATTATGTAGCCTAGAATCTATGCAGTGTTCCACTCAAACTCACTCCACTAATGCCTAGGTATGTTGCTAGTAATATCTTATTATGTAGCCTAGAATCTATGCAGTGTTCCACTCAATCTCACTCCACTAATGCCTAGGTATGTTGCTAGTAATATCTTATTATGTAGCGTAGAATCTATGCAGTGGTCCACTTAATCTCACTTCACTAATGCCTAGGTATGTTGCTAGTAATATCTTATTATGTAGCATAGAATCTATGCAGGGGTGTACTTCATCTCACTCCACTAATGCCTAGGTATGTTGCTAGTAATATCTTATTATGTAGCCTAGAATCTATGCAGTGTTCCACTTAATCTCACTTCACTAATGCCTAGGTATGTTGCAAGTAATATCTTATTATGTAGCCTAGAATCTATGCAGTGTTCCACTTAATCTCACTTCACTAATGCCTAGGTATGTTGCTAGTAATATCTTATTATGTAGCGTAGAATCTATGCAGTGTTCCACTTAATCTCACTTCACTAATGTCTAGGTATGTTGCTAGTAATATCTTATTATGTAGCGTAGAATCTATGCAGTGTTCCACTCAATCTCACTTCACTAATGCCTAGGTATGTTGCTAGTAATATCTTATTATGTAGCATAGAATCTATGCAATGTTCCACTTAATCTCACTCCACTAATGCCTAGATATGTTGCTAGTAATATCTTATTATGTAGCG